GGCAATTACCCTGTCTGTTGCTGAATTCTTAGCTTATGTTTGGAAGCTAAGGGTAAGGGCGCATAAGTCTTAATCCCCCTTGTGCTCATTTGGATTGTTATATTTTTTAACTGAGTTCACTATTCTTGAGAAGTTTAAAAATGATCCCCTGTTGGTGTAACTTGATGTAACTTGTTATGATCTATTAATTTGTTCTATTACTTTATTTGTTCCATTGCCTTCCTTATTGTTCCTGTGTTATGCCAATAAAGGTCTATGTATATGTATGTATATAAAACATACCTTCATATGCAATCTGCCACTTTCATGATGTGGTGAAGTACATTCTAGCTCACCAAAGCTTCTACTACAATAAATCACCCTAATACAATATTACAAAATATCAAAGGCACTAAACGCAATAGCACAGCAGTCTTTTGATGACAGTGTTTTTCTTCTACCACTTCTCTGTGTCTAATGCATATTCATCCAATGGTTGAAGGTGTCCTTATCAGACTATTTTTTTCCTAATTAGATACACTCATCATTATGATGAAGATACTAACTAAAGATACTAACACAGACCAGTTCTCAGACTTCAATTTGCCAGAGAGTAGTTCACTATCACACCAGCTAGCACAGCACTCAGAGCAGCACTGAAGCAGAGCGGATAAATGTTTGGCATTACTAGAGCTCTGTTGTTGTATGTTAAGATACAGGGAAGGAAAAGGGGGATGTTATGAAATGAATACGGCAACATGCTGTTCACTCGCATTTTGCAAACCACGTTGCATGCAAACAGTTTCAGTTATTTGCAGTAACTGTAAAAACAAGAAATAATAGCTATTTGATACCAGTGAGGCATGAATTGGGGTTTATAAGACCAAAACGGAGTAACTTTTACATGTATGGTTCCCAGAAAAACTGAAAACTTTAATCCAGGGTTGCTTTCCATAGTGTAGTACTCCTACGCCAAAGTTGCTTCCATGTAGGGAACAGTATACAGGTACATGCTGACAGCCTGCAGTCTATGTGACAGCTTCCTACACAGAGGCATCCTCAGTGTGGGAATACAGAAAGGCCCTCAGCCATGACAGCATATGCCCTTGTAGTCCCCCATGTCTGACGGAGTGGGTAAAGTTTATGACTTGTACCAGGAGATCTACATTCCAAATCCCTTGGCGACCTTAGGTCAGTCTTGTTCTCCCACCTTAACCTATCCACAAGGATAATGTGAACGTCAAAACAGGGTCATCCCTGAGCTGCTTGAATGGAGTGTGTGTGTGGGGGGGGGGGGGGGTGCCAAGAAGCTGCAAAGAGGAGAAAACCATTGGAAAACAAGGGAGATTTTCTTCCTCAACACCCCTCCAGTGGTTTTACAAGTTGTCGGAACAGGACACCTGCGTGCCGTGCCAGCTCTCTACCCAAACCTGTTGGCTTTATCCAGCTGGTTCAGGTCATGTTTCTTCATAAGCTGCTGCAGTTTCTCCAGGTCCCCGCTGGCGGCCGCCCGGTGCAGCTTGCTGAGATCCTTGCTCCGCAGCTCGTACCCGCCACCCACGGCGGCACTAAGCGAGGAGGAGGCGGCCCCAGAGCGAGACCCCAATGGCTGCTCCTTCTTCCTCGCGAACCCAAAGAATTTCTTCATTTTCTACGCAGGGAAAAGGGAAGAGAAGGAAAGGCAGGAGGCGAATCACAGCACCGGCCACCCCAAAGTCTCTCCAGTGCCCAACTTGTCGCCTCTCCCAGAGAAGCCAAGATGGGGGGGGGGGGGGGGGGGGCTGTCTCCTGCAATCGTGCAATCGGAATTGAGGCGGGCGCCCCGTCAGAGGCGACCACACTGTAAAGCATGCATCTCTAGCGATGGAATGAGACCAGAGCCGTCAAGGTAACGGCCTCCCTGAAGAAGCAGTGCGCATGTGCATTCCCGGTGAACGAGCCGTCACTGGAGGCGCACGCGCACTCACTGTTTCTCTTCTTCCCTTCCCCCCAGTGCTGCGGGTTTGCATTTCCAGGCAGAGTTGGGGCAAAGCCGGGTTGACGTGCGTTCGCAATGCAAGGAAGCAGTGGTGTTAATCAACTGCAAGGATTTTCCTTTCTTCCTGAAGTCTTTTCTCCCGTTCCTTTGCCATATGGATCCATGGCGCTGGCATTATCTACAAGGTCAGGGCTGACCTCAACAGCAAACAACTCTATGCTTCCAGTAGAGATAAAATATTCTCTAATTTTAGTGGGACCGTAAAGATAATAACATTTCTTTCAGTAGGAGCTTTTGTGAGTCACAGCACTCTTCTTCAGACAGAGACCTGAAAATCCTACCAGGGAGTCTTACCGGCATGGTGTGAATTACACCATATCTAACTGAAGGAGTGGGCTGCAGATCATTAAAGCTCATATTGAACTATTTTAGGTGCCACTGGACTAAAACCAACACAGCCACCCTTTTACCATCTACGTTTGCCTGGAAACATGAGCTTCAGAGTGTGGTGTAGTGTTTAGAGTGCTGGATTAGAAGTCTTGGGTACAAATCCACACTCTGCTCTGAAGCTTGCTGAGTGATCTTGAGCCAGTCACTCACAGTCTGACCTTACCTCACAGGGTTGTTGTGAAGATAAAACTGGGTCCTCACTTTACTGGCAAACCTGTGTGATGTGGGGATTGTTGGACTGGGGGAGGGAGACATGGGTTCAAATCCCCATGGATGAGTGCTCCACGAAGCTCACCAGGTGACCTCTGGCAGAGGCAGCCTTAGTGACTCTGGGGCAGGGAAGAAAAAGGGCAGGGATCTGCTTGTCGGAACATGACACCTGCGTGCTGTGCCAGCCCTCCACCCAAGCCTGTTAGCTTTATCCAGCTGATTCAGGTAATGTTTCTTCATGAGCTGCTGCAGTTTCTCCAGGTCCCCGCTGGCCGCCGCCCAGTGCACTTTGCTGAGGTCTTTGCTCCGCAGCTCATACCCACCATCCGCAGTGGCACTAAGTGAGGACGAGGCCCCAGAATGAGACCCAAACAGCTGCTTCTTCATCAGGAATGTAAATAATTTCTCAATTTTCAACACAGGGAATAGGGAAGAGAGGAAAGGAAGGAGTGTGAACCACATTGTCAACCACCCAAAAGTCATGCCAGTGCCCAACCTTGATATCCAGAGAAAGGAAAGAGGTGCCAGATTGGGGAGGGGAGGTCTCTGGAATATCCTCTGCTGTGATATCAGGTGAGACAGGCTCCCCATCAGAGGAGACCACGCAGAGAACACCGCAATCAAAGTAAGAGTTTCACCAAGGAACAGTGTTGCCAACCTCCAGGTGGTCAGAAACAATAAAGCACCATGTATAATCCAGTTCAAAGATCTTGTAATTGTATACAGACACTTATCAACAGTACAGGATGCTAGTACTTCCCGAAATTGAAAAGGTGTATTATTTAAACAAAATAATTAACAAATTCAATCTTAGGCGTAAACAAAGGCCGTAAGAGCCTAATACACTTTGCACAATGTAACTGGTGTGCAAGGAACACAATATACAACATATATACAAGCCCAACTCATGGGCTACACCAGTTCATATGTTAAAGTACACAGGACTTCACAAGATGCTGAGACAAACTGAGGCTTGAAAGACATATGAACTGGTGTAGCCCATGAGTTGGGCTTGTATATATGTTGTATATTGCATTCCTTGCACAACAGTTAAATTCTGCGAAGTGTATTAGGTTCTTACAGTCTTTATGGCTGATAAGTGTCTGTAAACAGTTACAAGATCTTTTAAGTGGGCTATACACAATGCTTTAATTGTTTTTCTGATATCCTTACACACCATGGTCCTTTGGTGGTCCTCCAGGTGATGGCTGGAGATCTGGGATTTCAACTAATCTCCAGGCAACAAATCAGTTCACTTGGAGAAAATTGCTGCTTCAGAGGGTGGACTCTATGGCACATTACAGTGATCAAATATAGATGTAACCAGGGCATGCACCACAGTGGCCAGATCTTTCATACCCAAGAATGGCTGCACCTGGCTAAATAGAAGCTGGTAAAAGGTGCTCCTGGCCACAGTTTCCACCTGCTTATCCAGCAGAAGGACTGGGTCCAAGAGAACCCCCAGACTATGGACTGTTTCCTTCAAAGGCAGTGCAACATACCATCTACAACTACTTCTAAAAAAAAACATGATCTGACCACAGTGATCCATGCTTTGATCACATCCAAGTTGGTAATGCACTGTACATGGGGCTGCTGTTGAAAACAGTTAAAAAAACTGATTGAAAAGTGGCAGCCGGGTTATTGTCAGGAGTTGGTTATGGGAAGCATATCACCCCCTGTGCTGAAAGTTCTGCACTAGTTACCCTTCTGTTGCCTGGCACAATTCAAGGTGCTGGTTCTTACCTTTGAGGCCCTAAACAGCTTGGGGCCAGGGGACGAAGCACCATCTCTTCCTGTACCATCTAGACTGCCAGTTAAACTCTGCCTCATTGTGCTAATCAGCTGCAACTGGATTGTCAGAAAGCAGGGGCCTCTGAAGATGACCATTGTGGTTGGGCAGGTTCATAAGGGAGTTGGTGGTCTTTCAGGCATGTTGGTCCCAAACCACTTAATGCTTTGAAGGTCAAAACCACCACCTTGAATTGTGCCCAGAAACAAACTGGGAGCCAGAGTAGATGGGCCATGCCTGGAGTCATATGGTCCCTACAGTCAACTCCAATTAATATCCCGGCTGTAGCATTCTGTACCAGGTGAAATCTCTCAGCACTTCTCAAGGGCAAGCCAATGTAGAGCACATCTCCACTCAGGAAGATCCAGTTTCAAATCATTGCTGTAATATCCAGCGATGCGTGGATGTAGCCTGGCTGAAGTCAGCAGCAGTTTAAGTCATTTGCCATACCTCAGGTTCAAACTAAGTGCATGCTTAACATGGCTTCTGAGAAAACAGCAAATGTGCATTTAGCTCCCTCTGCCCCAGTAGAACATCCCATTGGTAGGACATCAGAAATCACTTTTACCAGATGGAAAGGGACAAAGGCATCTCTGTATTTAGGAAAATATCTAGTTTGTCACTCAGTCTTACATTATTCACAGTGCAATCCTGTGCACAGCTACTTCAGTCTAAGCCTGTGGTGGTGATGGAAAGTGCTATCAAGTCACGGCTGACTTATGGCAACCTCATAGTTGTCAAGGCAAGAGATGAACAGAGGTGGTTTGTCATTGCCTACCTCTGTGTAGCAGCCCTAGACTTCCTTGTGGTCTCCCATCCAAGTACTAACCGGGGATGACCCCGCTTAGCTTCCCATATCTGGTGGCATCAGGCTAGCTTGGGCCATCCAGGTCAAGCCAGACTGAGCTTAGACTGGGGTGATTTTGTCTAGGGTTGCCCTGTCAGTTCAGTAGTTCACTTTGTAGTCCAGACATGCTGGAGTCAACAGACAGAGACTGGGGCCTCAGCACTTTACTGGAGCCAGTGAAAGCAAAAGACGTATTTTACTTCCTTTCTTGAATGGTGGCAGCCTTCACATATCCCCCCACCAGCACCACCAAAGATTCATAATTTGTTTCATTGCCAAACTGTTCATCAATTTTGTTTATTAGCATTCATGAGCTCATGAGCAATAAAGCTAAAATGGCCCTGCAGTCCTCTGAACACTAATTGTCTTGTGCGTGGTATCCCTAAGCAGGAAAACACCTCTAAATAATTCAAGTGCTAGGAACATAGATGATGATGTTTACATTTAGCTTGGCTGCAAACGGTGAAATGATTAGTAAGAACTAATTCCAGTTCGAGGCACAGCTATAGAAGCAATGATCATTCGGTACTTGAATGGCACTATTTCCCTACTTAAGCTTTTGGTCTTTTGACAAATTCACCAATAAAAACCATCTGATATGTTACAACCTTCCTCCAAGGAAAAATGTATTAAGGAGACTTTTAAAGATGATGCAAAATTTTAGCCCAAGAACCAAAAGAGCCAATGACATTGTCAGGACAGAGACCATCTTGTAGTAATCACCTAGTCTGTTCCAGCTGAAGCTACACAGTTCCCTTCTGAGATTAAGCAGGTGGCAACCTGGGAGAGGGCCTCTTTAGATGTGGCACCAAAGTTCTGGAACTCTCTCCCCAGGGAGATTTGTCTGTTCCATTCTGTTGATGTCCTCCACCAGTGGGTGAAGACTTAGTTTTTTGGTGTTTCCTCAGTTATCCCTTCTTCCTGCTCATTGTTTTAGCATCTGCTTTTATGTCTTTGTACATATATGAGTTCTGACTTTAAATTGTTTTAATTATGTCTGCTTTGGAGGGTGATTTTAATTGTTTAATGTTATTTTAATAGTTTATGTTTTAATATGTTAGCTACCTTGGTGGTCCTGTGTGGTCAGAAATATGAGATATAGATTTTGTAAAATTAAAGTACACAACAGGGTCAGCAATATCAATGAAATAGAAGGGATCAGTCTGTTAGCAGGAAAACAACAACGACACCTAAACAAACAGAAGCATTTGAGGACAGAGTGCAGTATCAGTCCAGGACAGTATAATGAAACTGGCATTCTCTGGCAGATCTTAATGAGTGAAAGGACCTTCAGGACGTCTGGATCCATTTAAGCCAGTTTGGTGTAGTGGTTAGAAGCATGGACTCTAATCTGGGAGAATTGGGTTTGATTCCCCACTCTTCCACATGCAGCTGGTGCTGTGACCTTGGGTCAGTCATAAGTTCTTTCAGAGCTGTTCTCTCAAGGGCAGTTCTTGAGAGAGCTCTCTCAGCCCCACCTACCTCACAGGATGTCTGTTGTGGGGAGGGGAAGGGAAAGGCAATTGTAAACCACTCTGAGACTCCTTTGGGTAGTGAAGGGTGGGGTATAAATCCAATCTCCTCCTCCTCCTCCTCCTCCTCCTCCTCCTCCTCCTC